GCTTGCCAAAACAAATTGATAAGAGAACAGTTTACTTAAAACTTTTTTAATTTTTCTAATTTCATTCAAAAACAAAGTTTTTGCTTAAAATTTGATGCAGAATTTTGTATTGCTTTTGTATACTTATTTTAATGAAATCAATGCTCACGTATTGCATTTTTAGCCACGTGCTTTGCGTCAGCATAAAACAATAGGCAACGATTAGGTTGGATTAGGACTGTACGGGCAAACAAAAGCAGTGCTTTAATTGATAATAAATATTAGCACTGATCTCAAATGATAATTTGTAACAACAGTAGTTAAATTAAAATTTAGTAGAATAAATATGATATCTTAAAGATGTATTTTGTTAAATTTTTACACATTTTTTAAAAAATCTTTTGACTATTTTTTATCCATCATTATATAATAACTACAACATTCTTATCGAGATTATTCGGAAATTAGTCAATGCTTTATTTTGTAAAACTTTTGACTACCAAAAAATTCAAATCTTCGGAAAACAGCATGTAATAATTAGTGACAAACTGATATCACTGTAATCAACAAATTTATAAATTTATCACTTCTTTGCCACTATCAGTTGCCCTTCAAGACAAGTTTTCCTAAATGACACAGTGATAGTAGGTCAGGGTCACTTAGTGTCGGGGGATATCTCGTAACGCACATGTATACCAATAGATTCATGCCTAGAAAGGCCACTGGTAACACCGCCTTCCGCACTGATACGAGTATCCATAGATAAGAGTGTAAAATTTTAAACCATCTTTCTGTCAAAACGATTCCCACATGAATCTATTTTATCTCTATTTTTGCTAGTTTACTGTGATATGCGTTGATTTGTGATCAAGAAAAAGTGAAGTGAAACGTGCAATATATCCGGAAAAATTACTCATCCCGATTCAGCTCAATCTAATTCTTAAAATGGTATTTATTGCTTGCCTTTATCTCTTGGACTCAGTCGTTTCTACCAAAATATTTTCAACTTTTAATTAGTCGAAAATGAAGAAAATAAAGCCTTCAGCTGTAAAAAACTTAGCAAACAACTCAATTCCTTCAATTCGCTCAGTGAGAAATAAAGCGAACCCAATCTCAGCATTTTTAACTTTAATTTTCGGGCAACTTTCACTTCTGAAAAGTTGTATATAAGTGTTGTTTGTAACCAAATTTGAACTGCTCTAACCCTTTATATAATTCGCAGTACAATATTTGTTTTTGTTGACGTGTTCAGCAACGCATACTTTTTTACAGTTAGAACACACTTGCTTGCTTACTTGTTTATTTATAATTGAAAAGCAGTAAAATTATCACGAAGATGCCAACTTCTTACTCCATGCATTGTTTCACTGATCTTTAGCTCTTCACTAATTGAAGCATTTTTTATAATTCGACGTCATATCGATAGTAATTATAGTTATTACTCGTAATTGCTTCACTGTGTTCCTTCTCACATCTGAAATTTTTCATTTAAAATAAAAAAGGTTGGTATTTATGACACTCATGACATTGCTCATTTCAGTTCGTGATCGCATTTTTTGTACTTTTTTAATATTTTTAGTTTTTAAACACAAATATATTACTCTTTTTTCATTTTAAAATTTCAATTTTTGGTTTTAAAATTTCAAAAATATTTGTTGCATTAGTGTAAGATTCTATTCTTATTTAACAAACGAAATTATATTAAATTAGGCGGGAGAAATTCAAAAAACTAACTCCAAATTCGTGTCTAATTGTGGACGGACTCTTTAAATTAGCTCGTAACTGGGAAAATGAACCCACAAATAGAAGTAGTGGTTATCAGTGTTTCATTTTCGCTACTTTTAATTTTATTAGCAATAATAATTAGTGCCATTTTTTAATATAATGCTTGTAAGCTCTGCATTACAAAATCATATTTTTTGTCATTATTTTTTAATAATTCTTAAAAATATCTATGCAATCACAAGGTTTTTACCGCTAAAAACAATACCAAAATTATTGTTAGTAATAAAATATATTTCAGTCATGTAAATGCGATACCATAATTTAGTTTTATATTATTACTGTGCACAACTAATTAGTTTGCTTTGTTTTGCAGTCTTCAACCTTTGACCTTATGTTCGCTCCTGAATAGTAACATTTTAAAGCAGCAATAAAACTGGCAATACATAGCTAATGACTATCTGGCTATTAAATTTTACCAGGCATGACTTTTGATTCAGTACTCTTAAAAAGTTTACCCGTTATCTTTTGTCTTTATACTTAAATATCTGCAACGAATATTTGCATGCGACTGTTTTGCATAAAATCAAATTTCATTGTTTCCTAAGCTTTCACAAGACTCTTAAATTATCCGAAATCTTTTTTCTACAACTCTTTTCTTTTTTTTAAAAAACGATTTTGTTTTTTCGATAAATTATCGTTAATTGCCTTGTTATGTCACAATAGTTCACAAAATTCATTTTTGTAGAAGGAAATTGGTAGATCCAATTACTAAATGACCCAAATTAACAGAATTCCGTCGTTACTATTCGCATATATTCTTTTTTTCGCATTTATGACCTGCGCATTTATGCATGTTAACTTCTTTTTTTCTGTACAATAAATTGTCGCTGAAATTTGTAGAAATGATCAAATGCGAATATTTGAATCGAAAAAATTTTTGAATTAAGTTTAGACCGAACTTAAAAATAGGCTTAGTTTCAGTTTCAAAGTTTGGCCTAAAAAAATTTGATGAGAAAGCAAAACGTCAGAAGTATTTTTGAAAAGAATAAAATATACAAACTTTTCGAAAATAAATTTGCAAATTTTTCAAAAAGAGTCTTTTGAGATATGCAGTTACAATTCCGTCATAATCGTACTATAATTCCTTTTAATTCTGAATTTTATATCTCAAAAAGTTTGTTAAAATAGGCCAAAACTAATTCAACCGAAGGACTTATTTAATGCAATTATAGTTTAATATTTGAGATTTATGATGACAATTTTACTTTAAATTTTTGCGCAAAAAAGTATTGCGAGCAGTTTAAGAATAAATTTTCAAGGTAAGTTATTTTTTAAAATTTTGCTATGAAAACAATACAAAATGAATAAAACTATCAAAAAGTGAAAGAAGTAAATTCGCGTTGAATAAAAAGTTATCAGTGACATAAATGCTAAGTAAGTTAACTAACTTTTTAGAAGCATATGGAGACTTCGTTCGGCCAAGTGGCTCTCGTCGTTCTCTGTTGCGTCACAGTTGTCGCATCTCAGTCAGGTTAATCAACTTGCTTAATGCAAATTTTGTCAGTCTAATTTTAGGCAGATAAATAGCTTTAGGTAGAAAACGAGTAGAAGAGTTTTCGTACATACCTTATCCTGATAGGATTCAAATACAAATATTAGTAAACCTAATATGATAATTCACATCAGACGCCAAAAAAGTCTACTTTAGCTGCTTTACTTATTTATTAATAAGGCATGTTATAAAATTATGACTGATCTTTTGTGCAAAAATATAATTACTAAGTTAAAAAACTTCAAAGTTACCTTGATGCAAGTAAGTAATAATGCATGCGGTTGTTCAGTAGAATCAGTAGATCCTTGCAAGCGGCAACCTTTCCGAGGTCGATGTCCATCTATAAAAGGCAAAATTCCAACTCGATCACAGTTCGTATTACGTTATTACGAGAGGAATAGCGAATGTGTCTCTTACCCTTTCGGTATTTTGACAATTTTTTCAAATCTTCTATTAATTTTTACCTTTTATGTGGCAATACAGAAACAAGATTAGAGGTTAAAAAATAATTTAGCGAAGCAACGTCGAGAACAGAATATAGTTTAGATGCTAATGATAATAATTATTATTATTAAACTTTAAATATGTCTTACAAAATTATCATTCAATTACTGAGTCTAGCAAAGTAGTATGCAAAAAATTTATAATTAATTATTTTGTAACTTATAATATAAGCAAATTATTTAGGACATTGTGCGGATGATGAAAATGAACCCATGTTGTACAGGTATAAGCATGACTGTGAAAAGGCCTGTCTTGATAAAGCCAAACATACAGAACTATCATCAGCAGAATTTTCAAGTGATTATGATATAAGTAGCACTAGTAGTACTACCGTAACCAGTAATACAGATGACAACATTGGTAAGTTTGTCAGTTCAACTTGGAAACCATTATCAGATGATGATGCGCAATTATCATCATCATCTCAGGAATCCACACCTGCTTCTCAAGCAACTAGATCACGTACTGGTAAGTTCCAATTCAAACTAAAGTTAAATTATAAATTTGTGCTTAATTAATTGCTTAGTTACTTATATTCGAGGTTTTTAATGATATGCTACTTTTTTTAAGCTTATAATGCTGTCAGCTTAAACTTATTACGTGATACTGAGTTTAAAGGTATTGCAGAATGTGAGAAACGCCGGGAAGCAATCGAATCAGGTCTGCTCAAAAGTGATTTTGTTCCAATCTGTACTAATCATGGCTCTTTTCTGCCATTACAATGTGGACCTGAGGGTGAGTACTGTTTTTGCGTGGATCATAACGGAATCGAAATTCCAAATTCACGTTCAATCAGTTCTGCTAAACCAAATTGTTCAGGTTTGCTTTACATCTATTTTTCAACTCGTTGCCTTAATTACTTCATCAGTTGTGTAACATCACTGCTATCATGTTCATAATCAATTTGCATAAGCATTTATTCACTATTTTACCATCTGAAGTAAAACTTGGATGTTTTTAGTCTTACTTTCATCCAAACTCGCGACTATTCTTTTTCCAACTAACTTTTAGCGTTATTAATCGTTAAAAATTACTCACTATTAACAGTTATAATTACAGAAATAATGAAAGCTCAGAAGCCAGCTGGATATGAATGTATCTCTCCAGTAGATTCTGGTCCTTGTACTGCATCTCTCACGCGATGGTATTATGATGAAAAACGAGAATACTGTGTCAAATTCCAATATTCTGGTAAGTAATGATATAATTGCTTTATTATCATAAATACAGTCTGTCTACTATGTTGTACTTTAAACAATTGCTAGTATTTTTAAAATAATATTATAATTTAAAATTTTCACTTCTTTGCAAAATTTATTTCAAATTTGTGGAAAAACTTCAGGAGACCACTTTTAGCCCGAAATGGCTAATTATAATAATCT